TTTTTGCAGATGGTAAGGCCCATATGCAGATTCTGACCCACTTGCTAATAAAGGGATTGGTCTGTGCCAGGGCCTAAAAAACTTGGATTCAGGTTCACAGATGCAATTATTGAGGTGAAAAACAGAGACTTAAAAATAATAGAGCTAGTAAAATTCTCATTATTTTTCTGAACGAGTGAAACATTATTTAAAAGGTAAATGTAAAAAGCACTGCCTATTGATATAATCGACTTAATTTTTGATGAAACATGAAAATGCACTAGGTTCTGCTTGTAGTGTTTAACATAGACTTTTCCAATGTTCATTTATATTTTGGATCCTTTCATTATTGTCCCAGCATGATCTTTAAGCAGTCACTTAGGAACCGATTTACTATTTTTTTTTATTTAAGTGCACGTATGTATTTGTAAAAAACTAACGATGCAATAACAATATCCTTTTAAAAATTCAAATATAAGTATCCAGAGTTTCTACTCTTAGGAGTTCCACTGTTCACACTGAAATGTGAGAGGTAAAGGAAAGAAAGAGGTGAACTTAAGTGCCATGAACTTAAATTTGTTCTAAGCTTTTGGAGAGAAGATAGAAATTGCTAAGGAGGAACTTTAAAGACCAGACTAAAAAACACTCGATTTCTTTGTAGCATGCTTCATTTCATGCGTTTTTAAACTTAACCAAGGCAATATATACTCATGGTGGCAGAGATGTTCCAGGATTGTTTGCACAATTCCACTCAGGCAAACTGGGTCAGACAAAAAGACATGATTGACATGACAAATCATTTTAGTTCTCTTTCTATTTTCTCTCCTCTCTATCTGGTTATCAGTTATCTATAATTTAAGGTCAACTCAAATCTCCTATGTGCCATTTATGTTCTGGGGAAACTTCTGCCTTTCTAGCCTCCAGTTTTACTGTTGGTACCTGTAATTAGCACATGATACAACGAAAAATTTTTTTCCCATTGCTCAAACTAACACATTGTTTTCCTTCAGATATGACATTATTTAAATTGAAGAAAAATCAGAAGGGCATTAAATGCAGATGGGAAAAAACTCAGTAATACCAAATAGTTATAGTTAAACTGGCAAGTCGTCCCATTTTTTCTTTCCGGGGACTTTTCCTTCCCAGATGTAACCACCGCCACTCCACAGTTTTTCACATGTGCACCTTCAAGCTTCGATGCCTTTACCTGCCATTTTTTTTTTCTCAACCAGGAATACATTCTCACATTCTCTGCCCATCTATTAAGACTCATAAAAGATACATACTCTGTACACTCTTCCTTGATACCCTCTGTCAGAATTCAGGGTTTTGTTCTTTGTATTTCCTCAATATGCTGCTTGTACCAGTATTTAACACCCATTTCATTCTGTCTTGTTTTACAGCAAGGTCTTTACCTATCAACTTCATCAAAATGCACTTTCTTGAGAGAAGGAGCCCATTTTCTTCCTCTTTGCATCTCCAATAAAATCCAAGCCAGTGTTATCACATGTTTAAGTCATTGGATGGAACATACACAATATGGTTTATTCATTTTCTGTTTCATGAAGAGTTGTCACAACCAGACTATGAGCGTCTTTGGGTCATTTACAGAAATCTGTGACTTTTTGATTATGTAATTCCATAAAAATATACATTAATTAAAATATTGCAACCAGTCCTGCTGTGACCTGAATGTCTCCTGAATTCATGCGTTGACACTTAATTCCCATTGTGGCAGTATTAAGAGGTAAATTCTTTTGGAAAGTGATTAACTCATGAAAGCTCAGCCATCATGAATGGACTAAATCCTTATAAAAGGTCTGGAGGGAGTGAGTTTCCTCTCTTCTGCTCTTCCACCATTGGAGAATATGTGTTTGTGCTCCTTTTCCCCCTTCCATCCTTTCTTCCATGTGAGGACACCTAGATAGTGCCATCTGTGAGAAACAGGCCCTCATCAGACACTAATCTGTCAGTGCCTTGATCTTGGACTTCCCATTCCTCCAGAACGATGAGAAATACATTTTTATTCTTTATAAATTACCTAGTCTGTGGTATTTTATCATAACAGCACAAACATAACAATTACTTTTGACTAAGACAAATATTAATGCCAGAGCTGGATGTGGTGGCTCACACCTGTAATCCCAGCACTTCAGGAGGCCAAGGCGGGCAGATGACCTGAGGTCAGGAGTTTGAGACCAGCTTGGTCAATGTGGCAAAACCCTGTCTCTACTGAATATAGAAAATTTAGCCTGGCATGGTGGCATGTGCCTGTAATCCCAGCTACTTGGGAGGCTGAGGCAGGAGAATCACCTGAACCCAGGAGGCAGAGGTTGCAGTAAGCTGAGATCATGCCACTGCACTCTAGCCTGGGCCACAGAGTGAGACTTCTTCTCAAAAGAAGAAGAATAATAATAATAACAGAGAAGAAGGTGTTGCTATAACAAATACCTGAAAATGTGGAAGGACATTTCCAGAGGCTGGAAGAGTTTGGAAGTGCATGCTAGAAAAAGCCTAGATTACTGTAAATGGAGCATTAAGGGTGATTCTGGTGAGGGCTTAGAAGAAGAGGAGAAATATAGAGAAAGTCTAAATCTTCCAAATAATTATCTAAGTAGTTGTAAACAGAATGCTGACAGTAATATGAATAATAAAGGCCATTCTGATGAGGTCTTAGATGGAAATGAGAACTATCTTGGAAACTGGAGGAAAGGTAATTCTTGTTACAAAGTGACAAGAACTTGGCTGAATTTTGTCCATGCCTGTCTTACAGCCTTACGGAAGGCAGAACGTAAAAGTAGTGAACTAGGATACTCGCAGAAGAAATCTGTAAGCAAAGTGTTCAGGGTGCTATGTGGCTTCTTTTTACTGCTTATAGTGAAATGAGAGAGGAGAGAATCAAATTAAAGACATAATTTATAATCAGACAGCTGAATGTAAAGATTTGGAAAATTCTCAGCCTTGACATTTGAAAAATAAAAAAGCTGTTTGGTAGAGAAAGCCAAGGGTGTGGCCAAGCAAGCATTTAATCAACAGATTAGTATGAATAGAGAGAGGTCAGATGCTATTCATCAAGAAAATGAAAAAATGACCCCAAATATTCAGAGATATTTGAGACTTTCACTCCCATCACAGGCCCAGACTGGTAGGGCCTTGAGAGCAGAACAATTTTAAAGGAGGTGTACCTCAGGCTACCTTAAAATCTTAGCACTCACTGCCCTGGGCCATCTCAAGTCTCTTCTCCCTGCATGCCAGAGCAACACTCATTGGCTGCCTCAGCCATGGTTCAAGCAGGCTCAGGTTTGGCTCAGACTGTGTCTCTTGAGGACACATGCTAGAAGTGTTATAACAGCACAAAGAGGCGAAAACAAGTGTTTTGCTTTTATCGACAGTTATTTTACATTCATTTATTCCTTGGAACTTTACAACATTCAGTACGCAGCAGACTGCATTAGTCTGGAGGAAAAACGAGTAAAAGTACTTTGGAGTCAGACAGACCTGACTTTGCATTCTTACTCAACGACTTGCAGGTTATGAGATCTTAGGAAACTTTTTTTAACCTCTATAAGCACCAATTTTCTCATTATTATAAACTAAATGTTAGTCCTATAAAATTGTTGGGAGGAATGTCTGATATAAACATGTAAAGGTATGTATATTAGTTCATTTTCATACTGCTATAAACAACTGCCTGAGACTGGGTAAATTACAAAGGAAAGAAGTTTAATTGACTCACAGTTCAGCATGACTGGGTATGCCTCAGGAAACTTACAATCATGGCAGAAGGCAAAGAGGAAGCAAGGCACCTTCTTCCCAAGGCGGCAGAAAGGAAAAGTGCTGAGCCAAGCGGGGAAGAGCCCTTTATAAAACCATCAGACCTTGTGAGAACTCTCTCACTATCACAAGAACAGCATGGGGGAAACAACCCCCAAGGTTCAGTTACCTGCACCTGGTCTTTCCCTTGACATGTAGGGATTATGGGAATTATAATTCACGGTGAGATTTGGGTAGGGACACAAAGCCTAACCATATCAATATGTGATACATATTAGACATTGAATATAAGTGAAGATTCCCTTCTCACCTAGGAGATAGAGGCTTAGGTAAGCTAAATGATCATCTAAAAACGTGTATGGCAAAGGGTTGCAAATGGTAGTAAAGCCAGGACTGGAAATGAGGTTCCCTAAATATTTCTATATATACACACCTGTTCCCTTGTGCCTAACATCTAGTCTGAGAGTGAATATCCTTGCAGGAAACTGAAAACAACTCATTCCTATTATCGTCCTGCTACCATGCATACTCCATAGCCTAAGATTTTACTGCAAACTGCTGCCTCCTGGCACTATGATGAAACTCAGGTTTGGCGAGGTTAAGTGACTTGGCCAGGTTCAATCAGCAATCTAGAAGCCATGTGCACCTTGTTCCCCTCACTCCTGCCGCAGAAGTGACTGATACATTGTGATTTAAATCTATATTGACCCTGTGTGGAGGAGACAGAGCTGCAGCAGTAGGAAGGTCAGGAGCCTCACAGAGAAAGACAACAACCTGTTGCCTAAGCCAGGTTCAAAGCACTATGAGGGTGAGGGGGAGGAGTATGAAAATGAGGAGGATAGTAAAGAACGGAGGATGAGCACATGCGGGACATAGATGACATAAATGATTTCAATGAGTAACCTGGTAATGGAGAGGTCAATGATGTGGACGTGGGAGGCCACAAACAGGATCAGGACAAGTGAACAATCTAGGTAGACAGGGCGGGATGGTCTCAGGGAGCTTCCATTCCAGCTCCAACTTTCCTACACTCCCTGAAGAGCAAACTGATGGCTTTTTTTTTTTTTTTTTTTTTTTAAGAAACATCGCTACAGAAGAGATTTCTGCTTCTCTGCTCTACTTGTAAGGAAATACTATACCAAAGTCATCTCTGAGTAAGAAAATTCAGAAAGTAAAATTGAAAGTGATTTATTAAATTGCATAGTTTATCTGTTTTCCATGAATGAATCTCCCTCTCTTTTTTTTTTAGTGTTAGAATCAATGTTTTATTGTCACGCAGATGGCAACTGGGTTTATGTCTTCATATTTTATATTTTTTTGTAAATTAAAAAAATTACAAGTTTTAAATAGCCAATGACTGGTTATGCTTTCAGAAAACATGATTAGACTAATTCATTAATGGTGGCTTCAAGCTTTTCCTTATTGGCTCCAGAAAATTCACCCACCTTTTGTCCCTTCTTAAAAAACTGGAATGTTGGCATGCATTTGACTTCACACTCTGAAGCAACATCCTGACAGTCATCCACATCTACTTCAAGGAATACCACGTTGGAATACTTTTCAGAGAGGGAATGAAAGAAAGGCTTGATCATTTTGCAAGGCCCACACCACGTGGCTGAGAAGTCAACTACTACAAGTTTATCACCTGCGGTGTTCAAGGCTTCCTGAAAAGCAGCCTTGCTCTCGATCTGCTTCACCATCTTTGCTGCTGGGGTCTGAGGAGCGGCTGTAAGGACCGATGGAAACGGATCCAAAGCACCAGACCGAGCTTCCCATGAATGAATCTCTAGTTAACATAAATTGGTTAAAATCATACACACAGTAATTGAAATTATTACCCATGAGGTGGAACCAGAGAGAAATAGATACTCAGCTGTAACGCATTTCACTCATCCCAACTCATTCTTTCTGTCAACTGTGCACCCTCTGCCTTCCTTTTTAAGATTTGTACAAATTTAAACAAAGTCAAACTAAGCTGGAATAAAGGCAATGTGGCATGTGTATAGTCAAGCAGGAAGTTTGTTTTGTGAGAAGAATAAGCCTTCACATGTATTCAATCACTGTGCTCCAGCATGAGGAGCCTGAAAACCCTTCAGATGATTGGCTATTTAGGATAGTGAAAACTGATCGAAGAGAGAAAATAAACAAGAAATTTGGAGAGGCCTGGAGCTCTTATGATGTCAAAGAAATGTTGGCTGGGAGAGTTTTGAGGAAGTAAAATTAAAGCAATTTCTGAAGTGTTCATAATTCAGATCCAAGCTTCTCAAGTTGCAATGTGCATCTGGGGATCTTGTGAAAATGCAGATTCTGATTTAGCAGGTTCATGGGAGGTCTCTACATTCTTCTTCTCCAACAAGCTTTCAGTTTGCTGACACTGCTGGTCCACAAATCATGCTTTTAGCAATAAGGTTTTAGTTCATATTGGCCATTTCTGGGTTACTGAACTACTGAGATCCCCTAAATAATGGCTAATATTTATATTTTGAAAAAAATACATTACCAGTAATAAACATGTCTAAAATAATAGTGTTCTTACCTGGATTAATGATTTAGAAAACCAAATACTAAGTCAAAAGTGAACCCCAAGATGAGCTTGAAATCAGTGAAATTAGCTGTAGAACCAGTTTTAATCTATATAAAGATCGACCTACATTGTATCTCCTGTCTCTAAGTGTTGAATTATTCACATAAATGCTTCAGAGCAGCCTCCCATAAATCAAAGGGAGAGAATTAAATTGGGAATAGTATGGTGAACAATGGTGAGAAATCTTGAGCTCCTAACCTGATTTACCTGATTATTCTCCCAGTTATCTTTCTCTTGTTCTGACCAAATCATTCCTGGTGATTTGCTGGCCCCTAAATTTAGCCCCAGGGACTCTTTCATCATGGTATGTGATTTTTAAGCTCTGTGATTTTAAAGGCTTTTCAGATTGATATTAGATTCAATATTGAAGTGTCACAAGTTCTTTGTGAGAGAACTTCTGCAGAAGGTTGGCAGTGGTTTATCCAAATGCCTTTTATTGGTTAATAAGCTTGTACAAATGTGGCTCCATCATAACAATGATTATTTCTGATGAAAGTATCTGATCAAACTCAATTTACAGAAATAATGTTTTATTCCATTTAAAAATAATAAAATATTCCTTTTCCCTTCTCAGGACAGTTTGGTTATGTAAGGATTGAATTATTTGTATAAATAAATTCCATTTATTTTCTTCATTTCTCCTGATTTTCTTTTAATAAATGATCCCTGAACACTAGAGGCAAGAAAGTTGACCAAGCATCTTAATACACTGATTCGAACAGTAAAAAGTTAAGTCCATTACAAATTGTATGTAATGCTTTAAATGTAGAGTGAACTAGTCATCAATATGCTACAAGTGGAATTATGATGATACAAAAATAGGCTTTGATAATGCTTTGTCTTACCTGCCTCACGAGATTGCTGTGAGGATCAAATGAGATAGTCTTTGAAAGTAATCACTAAAGCCTAAATGGTATTTCTGGCTTTGTCCTCCTTTTTACCAATCCATTATATTTAAGGTTGCCAGATTAATCTTAAAGCATCAGCTTGATTACATTTTTTCCAGCTCAAATGCCTTCAATTTTCCTCTCAACCTCTTTCTGAAGCATTGGGTTTGGTTTCCCTTGGCATTTAAGAAACATCACACTGCCTTTCTAGTCTTATCTCTAGCTATTTTCTATTCTAACCTCATATATCAAGGCTACTGGGTTACATTATATATCCCCTAATTTCCTGAGTCAAAATTTTTATTGTCTCCTACACATTGTCTCTACCCAGTTTTTCCATAGGGACCCTATTATCAAACACGTCCAAAATTAGGAGCATGTAAGTATATTCTTTATATATTTCCTATTATCCATTCCAGAAAAATCCATTCCTATTATCTAAGCCAGAAAATTGGAGTTGCTGTCTTTCTCTTTCTCTCTCTTTCATCTTCTCTATCTGTGTGTGTGTGTGTTTCCTACACATTTTTTTCAGGCCCACCTTCACGTAGGAAATATGTAATTTTTCTTTATCTGTTCTTCTCCCTCAGGATCACCCTCAATAGTTAAATGCAACCATTAATTCTATCAGATATTTTTCAGGCCGAATATCTAATGGTTCTTTAATTGGACAGATATTTATGGAGCACATGCCATGTGTTGATGGTTGTGTCAGTTTCCTGTTGCTAGTATATTACCACAAGCTTAAAACAACATATTTATTATCTTACACTTCTGGAGGTCAGAAGTCCAAAATGAATCTCACTGGTTAAAATCAAGGTGCTGGCAGAGCTGCTTTCCTTCTGGAGGCTCAAGAGGGAACTCCATTTTCTTGCCTTTTCCACTGTCTAGGTGTTACTCACATTCATTGACTTGTAGCCCTCTTCCATCTTATTTATTTATTTATTTATTTATTTAGAGACAGAATCTTGCCCTGTCACCCAGCCTGGAGTGCAATGGCGCAATCTCGACTCACTGCAACCTCTGTCTCCTGCATTCAAGTGATTCTCCTGCCTCAGCCTCCCGAGTAGTCGGGATTACAGGTGCGCACCACCATGCCCAGCTAATTTTTTGTATCATTAGTAGAAACGGGGTTTCGGCATTGTTAGCTAGGCTAGTCTTGAACTCCTGACGTCATGATCCACCCACCTTGGCCTCCCAAAGTGCTGACATTATAGGCATGAGCCACCGCGTCCAGCCCCCTTCCATTTTTAAAACTAGCAACACATTCTTCCAACCTGGGCTTCTGTAGTTATATATCCTTCTTCAACTCTAACTCTCTTTCCTCTCTTTCACGTATAAGACTCCTTGTGATTACATTTAGGGCCCATCTGGATAATCCAGGGTAGTTTCTCCATTTCAGTATTCTTAACAATGACATCTGAAGTCACTTTTTCCATGTTCGATAATATATGCACAGGTTCCAGGGTTTAGAATGTGGACATCTTTGAAGGGCAGTGGTGGAATTATTCTGTCTACTATAGCTGTCTTCCTAAGTAGTGTAAACACAGAAAAATATTATGATGTAGTCCATGCCCTCAAGGAAATCAAAGATAAAGCAGTCAAATGAGTGAGTAGCTACAATATGCTGTAATTATGGCTCTGGAATTATGATGAAAACTATATAAAATCTTGGGGGATCAGGGGAGTCTTTGGGAAGGAGGGTTATCTAAAACATAGAGCCAAAATTCTGTTTGAGCCTTTTGTTACATTTTAGGAGGGAGGATAATGGTACTAAAATAAGTTGGTACAATAACCTAGTTTCTAATAGCATCAATCAATCAATCTCATGTTATCACTTTTACAGTGGAACAGACTGGCTTAATATAGATACTAGTTCCACTCCAAAGATATAAATAGGGGTACTACGTGTATATATCATATTCATATACATATTCTCTCTTTTTGCCTTTAGAGACAAGGTCTCATTCTGCTGCCCAAGTTGGCATGCAGTGCCCTGATTATAGCTCACAGTAACATCAGACTCCTGGGTTCAAGCAATCCTGTTGCCTCAAAGAGCTAGGATTGAACTACAGGCGCACATCAGCATACCCAGCTAATTAAAAAAATTTTTGTTTGTAGAAGGGTCTTTCTAGATTACCCAGGCTAGTCTTGAACCCCTGACCTCAAACAATCCTCCCTCCTCAGCCTCCCAAAGCACTGGGGTTACAGACAAGAGCCACAGCACCCAGACAACATATTCTTTATGTATATGTTGTATACCATTTAACATATATGTGAGAGAACACATATGTACATAGAAAAGGATGTACTTTTCTACAGGTAATTTTTCTCAACAAATTTTGCCCTCTGAGAACTTATACTCTAGAAGGGGAATAAGACGTGGGCATAAATGTTTACTGAAACATAAGGCTGAGAGAGTTGACTGTCATAGAGATATAGATATAGTACTAGGTGTATGCAGGGCTGGAAGTGAGTGTTTTCAGCTTAGAGAAAGTAGAGAAGATTTCACAAATAATGTCTTACTTAGCTAAGGTCTCTAGGGATGGGAGGCTGGGTTTTGGTCATGTTGGTGATGAGAGAAAATCATATAAAAAATGACATATATCTCCACATTGCTATTAGGTAGAGGAAAAAAGAGTTCCTCCTGGAGATTGCTGGGTCTTTGAAACAGCAGTAGAAGAGATGTGAATTCCAATTACAATTTCACCTATACCAAACAGAATTATTCACACATCTCTACTGCTCCCACCACATCTTCAGAAAGATTTCTGCTGCAGTGCTCTAAGGGAAACATGTAGAAATAGATCATATACTTCCTTATTGGAATAGGAAAGATGAAGGGATTCACAAGGGGGAAAATGTGCTGTGATTGAACATTTTCTAGATAAAACACAGAGAAGTTTATGGCTTTGAGAAATTATTTCACAATAATTCATTCAGTATATATTAAGCACCAGCTCTGCAAAACACTGTGATAGATAACATGAGGAATACAAAGATTTTAAAACATCATTTCTACTTTTCAATCCATCTAGTGTGGGAGTAAAAACAGAGACTGAGCATATTACAAAGCAGTGTATGATTCATGCTGCATGATTAGGATACAGAAGAGTGGGAATTCAGATCAGTTCTAGTGAGTATCATGAGGGAATTCTCATAGAAGAGACAACACCTGAATCTGGCTGGAAAAATAAGTAGGATTTAATAGACCAACACATGCACATAGGACTGGGGAGAGAGTAAATTGGAAAGGATAAAATTTAGGCAAAAAGAATAGTATGAGAAAAATCACGGGGG